GGGGGGGGCGGGAACCGGACGGACGAGTCGACAGGTCTTTGGTTACATCGAGTCCATACGAGCTGCCGCACCAACAGCTGATGGGGTTGTCACAGTGTCGGCTCACACACACCCTGAAACTACAGTCGCTCCCTCATCAACATGCAGGAGCGAGCCGCCAACTTATTCAGAGAGGAATGTGGGTTTGGCAGATGTGCGAATGTGCTTCTGGCAAACGCCGCAGCAGAGACGCCGCCGGCTGTTAACCCTCTGCCGTCCGCAGACTTTGATTTCTTCGACATGTGCGGCTCCACTCGTTCACCCCGAGATATTCGTTCCACTTGTGTGTCTGCGGAGGATCTCGGAGCTCAGCGCACGTCTGAAAGCAGCTCATGTGCACGTCTGTGCCAATTTTAAAAGGATTCTCTTGAAGGGAATGTGAAGGGACCTTTGACCTTCAAAATCGAATCGGGTCATCGTTGAGTCCAAGCTTCAGAGCTTTGAGACGAGGATTTAAAAAAATAAGACGACACGACTGAAGAAAGTCAACTTTGCCATTTGCTCATTTTCACCACAATCTAAATATCACAGTCTCACATTATTCAAACAAACATGTCCGCAGGGAGCTGTACTTCCCACCCCCTCACCTGTAGTTCTCTTTGGCGTCTTCCACTGAATACTGTTTGAACTCCTCGTACATCTTCCTGTTGAAGTTGTCCCTCAGGAAAAAGGACCAGAACCTGAACAGGGTGTTCATCTCCTGTGACTGACCCACTCCCAACCGTTTCCTCTCTGAAAGACACCGGACGAGTCAGACACGGCTTCAACACGCAGGCGAATTAACAACGAGATAAAAACTAACCGCACCGTTAAGGCACCGTCGGCGGTACTTGTGGTAACCCTGCTGGGTGAAGCCGTTGTCCCTCAGCAGCTCGTGGGATGGATGCCAGAACTTGGGCAGAGACTGGGGGGTGCAGCCGTAACTTCCCGACAGCGGAGCTCCTTCTGACGGAGACGCGTTGGAGCTGCTGCGGAACGACAAAGGACGAAGAAGAATCGTTTGAGTGTCACGTTTTAAAAACAATCTGTATTTTCAAATCCTTGCACATTCATTAGGAACATTTATGACAGAGTGAAACGAGCGGTCGGACCTGATGGATGCGGAGCGCGGCCGGTGCTCACGGGAGTCCATCACCCAGCCGATGTGAGCCTCCTGTGGAGGGTTGGAGCTGTGGCGTGTCTTCTTCTTCCTCGGCGTCTGGAAGGAAAAAAAAAAAAAACGACAGATACATGATAATCGTATGTTATTATTATCAAACCTTTATTTAAACAGGTGTAATCCCATGTAACCTCAGGCCAGCTCACCTGTCCATCGATGGTGCCGCTCTCCTTCATCACCGGGTAGAAGCGCGGTGTCTTGTTAGGATCCTGGCGTCCGGGGGTGCGAGGCGTTCTGGGGGTTCGCGGCTCGTGAGTGCTGGGTGACTCCGGGACCGTTGTGGGCAGAGAGCGAGACAGTTCTGCTGCGCTGTCCACTGAGAACACACGTTACCAACGTTTTATTAACTCACAAGCTTTCAAACTTTATTTTTTAAACGTTTCTTGCAGATAAACGTTTCTACCGAGTGGTTTATCCTTTAACTGAATTATCTTTTTACAATCCTGGTCAGAAAAAGGAGAGAATCCGAACCCACCTGGCATCGGGGGAGGTGGCACTTCCTGGTTCGGGTCAACAGGCACTTTGGGGGTGAGAGTGTCAAACTCATCTTTAGAAATGACGCTCAGCTTCTTGAAATTCTCCGCTTCCGGCTGCGGAACACAGAAACACCAGTCCAGTCAAAATAAATAAACGCAAACAAAACAAGACATTTTTTAAATTTCTAACATTTTATGGACAAATTCTAATCTTCACTCTCGACAGTTTAACTGTTGAATCGACAGTAGCACTCAAAGTATTCCGGCGCCACACTCAGGATGTGAAGATTTCAAATATGCTGTTTGAACTGATAACGACACGGTGGTAAAAATACACGACGTGCCAGCGGCTGCAGTTTGTGTGACACTCAGCAGCTGTGTGTCGGACTTTGAACGTTACACATCAGCATCAGGTGGAGGAGAAAAAAACACAGGCGACCTTGGTGTGTGTGTGTGTGTGTGTGTGTGTGTGTGTGTGTGTGTGTGTGTGTGTGTGTGTGTGTGCAGGCGTGTGTGTGTGTGTGCAGGCGTGACGTTTCCCACATGTGGCGACGTTACTGACGACCTTTGAGCCCAGAATGAGCTGAGCACACTGAAAACAACAAGTCCCCCAAAAAAACAAGAAGTGACTTTAAGGAAATTCAGCTTTTAAACGGTTTGAGTTCAGACTTTAAGATTTAACACTAAATATTATATATTATAAATATTATGAGTATGAATGATATTAACTCTTGAGATGTGACTAAAGGTCAGAGTTAATGTTTAATTAGTAGATTTCAAAATGTGCAATAAACTAATAAAATGTGTGTGTTTGTTGTGAATCATAATCTTCAGTTTGAAAAGTACTTGCAGAAAATCGATGACGTCAAAGAGCAAATGTTTAATTATAAGAATCATTTAAAGCTGAAATCCTCTCATTCGTCATCCGACAGAGAATCACTGCGTCCAACTCTGAGCTGACATTAACCTTTGACATCACAAAGAGAAGAGCGCCTGTCTCCTCATGAGCAGACGACCAGTGACTCCACATGAGGTTCACTGGCTCCTTGTGTTGGACGCTGAGCTCTGGCAGCAGCTGTGTGACACGTGTGTCGTCTGGAGGATCACGCAGTCGGCGATGAATGGTTTATTTTCGTCCTCCTGTTCTCAGCGTGTGGTTCAACAGCTCGGTTTTGAAATGTTAACAATTAAAAATCCTGTGGAAACAATCGTAAGCTCCAGAAATGTAAAACTAATCTTGTGGCGTGGCGGTTACATAAATATATAAATATTTTATCAGGTTTCGTTTGTGCAGCTCATCCGGCTGCAAAGCAGATTTCCCTTCATAAAAAAACTGAAGTTGAGGGTGTTTAAATTTCTTATTTGTTGTTTTAAAGATAAATAATTTAGATCCGGGAAACGTTGGCTCAGCACAAACACAGACCGGGAGAGGAAGCGACAATTAGCCGAACATCAACAACCTGAAATCCTTTGCGTTGTATCGTGTCCACCGAACTAATGCTGAGTTCCACTCGTCTGCAGAGGGCGGGAAAAACGTCTGGGATGTTTTTACAGAGCACGGACGCAGTGAGGGTGAGAAAGAGAGCGAGGCAAAGAGCGCTAGATCCGAGATCATCAGGAAACTGTGAACAAACGAAGACGCTGATTTCACAACCGCTCCATGTTTTTCTCACCTTGATGCACTCGACTTGTTCCTCTCCCGTCCATAGGTCCTGTTCATAGTAGTACAGTCCATCATTGATGGCTTTGGCGAGGTCGGTAGTGATCTTAGCACGGGACTCGTGGTTTCCCGTCCGGTCTCCGCTGGGGTGTTTACGCATGTAGGGAGGGGTCTGGGTGACGATGAGGATCTTGTTGACGTCTTGGTCGTCCAGCTCGTAGTCCGAGTTGTCCTCGTCCGACCAGTCGGTGAACTGGTTCTTCCTGGGCGCCATCTGCTCCATTTCCTCGTCGAATAGGAAGTCCAGCTCCTCCTGATCGGGCTCGGCTGGTGCGGGAGCTTTGTGGCTGGGGGGCGTCTTACTGTCGCCCTGGATGAGACACACACACACAAGTGGATTTTAAATTCAGGGTGTGATGACGTTTATAAACCGCACACAATGAAGTCCAAAAACTTCTTACAGCAAATCCTGGTCCATAAATCAATGTTAAGATTCTGGTTCTGTGACAAAACCATTAATTTAGAGCAATTAAACTGATTCAAGTTAACGTGGAAAGTATTTTATTCGATCAAACATTTCTAATTAGTAAACCGTTTGCCCTGTTTGTGCAGGAGAAGAATCAGGATGTGAGAAAACTGCTCTGACGGAACTGTTCCAAAAATAAATCTGCCTACATCCGTTATAATGAAGTAATGTCACATTATTATATCAGTCACGGTTCAGTTGTTGTACTTTAAATGTACTAAAACTTCACTGTATACGGTTCAGTGAACATGGAGCATCACAGCAAAGTGTTGACGGTGAAACACTGAAATATTAAAACACGTTATCGACGAGGATGTGCAAATTAAATATGTTTGAGTTGAATCACGAGACATGAATGAGAAGAACGGTGGAGCAGGACGAGAGGACAGTCTGAGAAGGGAGAGTGAAGAGGGAAGTACTCAACTGCAGAGGGGAGGTGATCGGGTGGGAGCGCTGAGGGAGGGGAGGAGTCTACAACACACACATCATCACTGACACGCTGCCGGTCAAAAGATGGAGGACGAAAGAATCAGAGGAGACAGATGAAGAGGAGGAGACGCGATGAACACGGAGGAGAGAAGACAGGAAACAGAAACAAAGAGTGATGATGGGAGAGATGAAGAACAGACGTTGAGCTTTAATTTTAACCCCCGAGTGTGTTTTACTTTGAAAGTTAATAAGATGTCGTTTGGTTTCCTGGCGACAAGAGGATCCAGGAATTTAACATTTCCTGTTTCGGTATCCAACTCACTTCCTGACGCAAAACTGAAATTCCTCGGGTTATTTCCTGTTCTCGAACCACAGTTCACTGAATCTACAGGCAACCAGGAAATAAACACTCCATGGATCCACATCACAACTACTGTGTCTCTAGTTTTTCAAGTTAAAACTTAAAACACTAGTTGTTAATATTATTCTATTTTATGTACATACAGTTATTTGCTGCTTTCACTGATGTTTTTCATGCTTAAATATTTCTCTATGTATTTTCAACTTTCATATAAATATAAAATTTGTACATTTATAAGTAAAGAAGAGACAATTAAATTAAACGCTGCTTTTACACACCGGGGCCCTAAATAGAAAAGGGAAGTTGACATTTTATTAATCAAATACTATTTGTGACGAGCTTCTGTTCCAAAAGCTTAACTTCAGACACAGACGCACCGAGAACCACGGATCTGAAGACGCCAAAGTTCTCTTTCACTTTCGGTACCTTTGCCTTTCCTGACGGCTGTTTGTGGCGTTTCTCCACCTGGATCCAGGCATCGGGGTCCGGTTTGGGGGCGGGGGGGTCTTCAAAGGCGTCCGCGGTGGGGAGCGACTCCTGGCTCGAGGAGTCGGCCTCCGCTGAGTCCTGAGACTCGGCGGACTCAGGAGGCGTCTCCTTCACGGGCGAAGAAGCTGAAAGAACATGAGTCGACCTTCAGCGACACTTAGAGTAAATCGCAGACACGCTGTCAGTTCTCATTCAGGCCACAAGGCGCCAAAGTCTGGAATCTCAACTCAACGTTCATGTGGAATATTAGACAAGACAGAAAATATTATATTTTCTTTTTCGTCAAACGAATCCTTTAACGAGAACAAGATCACGAGTTCCTACTCGAGACATCAAATCTTTCAAAAATGGCTCATGTTCAGTAATTTTCCCTAAATCATCGTTCACAGAGATTCAGAGTTGACGTCACTCAAACTCGATAAAGAAAATGAAGGAACACTCAAGACATCACGTCGGTGGTGGAGCGAGTCGATTACTGACCGGAGTTTGTGGAGCTGAGCGTCTGACGAGGGACGAACTCGGGGCAGTTGATGAGCTGGGAGAAGTCGGTCCGGGGGGAACCCACGACGGTGGGGGTCGGGATGGGCCAACGCTCCGGCTCAGTTTTACAGCGAACTCTGTTGTCCACCAGCTCCACCTCTGTGCTGTTCTTCAGAGCCTGGAGAGCAGGAAGTGTTATTACACCGACGTTTACACTCGTATACATGAATTGCGTGTAGAGTGGCAGCACTTTTACTGCCTTCCATTGTCTGGTTGTGTTTTTATTGTGTTTATATTCTCCTCAGAGGAGGAACTCAAGATTACAGCCAAGAGCTTTTTAAATAAAACCCCAAACAACAACAGAATAAGTTGAATAAAGTCCTCGGTTTCTTTCTGACCTGAAGCCAAACTGTGAAATACACAAGATGAAACCAAACTAATCCCCAGAAGCAGCAGCAGCAACGATGAGAGGCGGACGATGGGAAGTTACCTCCATGATGAGGGCGACGTCGGTGGTCAGGGCCTGGACTCTGTGGAAGCTGGCGATGAGGGAGATGGGGAGGAAGCCCTGCACGTCCATCTTTCTCCTCAGGAAAAAGTCTCGCTCCAGGTTGTGGAGGCTGAAGTAGTACTCGCTGGAGGAAGTACGCACAGTTCAGTAAACGCACTCAAACACATTTTAATTTTTGCTTCAAATGAAACTGAATCTGGAGAAGCCAGGCGAGCTCCAAGATCGACCGTGTCGTCAAACTGTTTTCACATATGAAGGATTTATTGCGTTGAGTTGTGCACCAAAAATCTGTAGACGGAGAAATCTCCGAGGGCTCCATTACTTGTCACAGCACTTCAAGTCACCCCTGCATCCGCGTGCACGTACGAGCACGAGCACAGAGGTCAGGCTCGGCCCGCGGGCGATGTGCACTGGCTGCTTCGTGCGGAGTAACGTCGGCTGAGTGAGCAGCCTGAATAACATGAAGGAGACGAGAGAGGAGAAGACAAGAACCCCCCCACCCCACCTCTCTTACACCTCTCTCCTCCTCCCCCTCCTCCCTTAAAGTTTTTCTACATGTTCTTGCACAGGCCTGCATATAGTTCGCCCCCCCATCCCCCCAGCAGCACTCAGACTATTTTTAGGACCCGCCTCACCCCCCACTATTCTGAGTCCGCCTCAGTAACGAGGCCAAACTCGTCGGACGGAGCAGCAGTGCACGCTGCCCCCTGCAGGTCACACCGGAAACCCAGGGGAGATTTACGACACAGCACTTGTTATCTCTCTCTAACTCGCTGCACAAACACAATCGTCACCTGTTTGACTCCGGTGGTTAAAAATATTCCCCACCTTGACCTTTTCAGGTATAATTTTCCACGCTGCTGATAAAACTGAGGCCAACGTGTTGCTACTCGCCTCGCGACAGAGCGACTCCAAAAACACACGTTGTTTAAAGTGAGATTCGTTTGAAGCAGTTAGAAGATTATTTTTTTAATCACAGTATTTTCATATTTGAGCGGCAGCTTAAACATTGTTAGTGGATTAAAAAAAACAATATAAACTTAGATGGAACAAGTTTAGGATGAGGAGATATTTCCAAAAAGGATTTTTTTGTTTTCTAGTACTTATGATTATTTTAATTACTTATTGATTTAAAGGGTATTTTCCCTCCACAGCAGAAAATGAAGCAAAACTTCAATCACAGATCCCAAGGTGGCATTTTTAAATCTCTTGTTTTATCAGATTAAATAATAACTAAACATTTCATTTGTTGTAATGTAAAGATAAATATAATCTTTTTTTTTTAAGAGGCTGGATTAAATGAATTGCTGATTTTAAAAGAACAGGAAGGAGAAAGTTGTCGATTTCTTACATTTGACGTTTGATGTATTCCTTCAGGAGCTTCTCATCCACCGTGTACATCTGGACCTTGCTGCCGTCGTCGTAATAGTAAACCATGTTGGAGCCGAACTCGGCCTGAGCAGAGCCGTCAGATGACTGAGAGTCTCTGAAGCTCTGAGAGAATTCATAACGACCTGAAAGAGCAGAGAGGAAATGCAAGAAACGATTCTTGAATCCCGAGGGAAGAGCTGCAAAATACCTTTCATGAGATGATCAACTCAGACTCAACCTGTGCAGGTGAAGAAAAACGTTTTTTTCTTCTTTTCTATATGAAACAAAAACTGAAAGGTGTAAAAGTATTTAACAAACCTCGTCCGCGACCCCTCCCGCGCCCACGACCTTTCCCTCGGCCTCGTATTCCTCCACGAACGCTGCCACTGTCGCTTCTGACGCTGGCGGCCTCGTCACCAAAGTCCCGAGGGCCACTTCTCCAACCTGTGAGCGAGAAAACGTTAAAGGTTCAGTGTCAGCACGTACACCCAGTATCCCCCCCCTCCCCCCTCCATTGGGTATAAACTCAATAATAAGGTTTTCTCCAAACGAACATCTCTGTAAAATGTTTTGTTTCTTTACAACCTGAGTGAAAATCTGACTTCCTCCACTCGAGACTCGACTCAAGACTGAACGTCCCCGGATCTCAGTTATGAAGTTGGTTTGTTAAATGATATGAGAACCAACGGAAACGGAAACTGTGGCAACAAAACCCAGGTTACTGGATTAAAAAGAGGTTTGAATTGAAAAACCTCAGGATGAGCAGAGAGACGTTAACGAGCCCTGAAGACAGAAAGCTCTAAAACAAATGAAACACTGGGGTTTGTGTTCAGGTCAAAGTTTCAATCGTCAGTTTGATCACAGCTTTGTTTTTACACCATGCGTTCATTCTGCCACGTGTTAGTTTGAAGAGAGAAGCTTGAACACCCAGAAACACTGCGGACGCCAAACCAACGAGTGAAGAAGCAAAACAGAGACTGAGGCGTGAACAGAAAACAGTGAGCTGCTGGCCACTTACTCCTGCTGCTATCATGCGGCCTGTTATTATGGAGCGTGTGATTGGGCGACGTGGGGTCAGGGGAGTCGCTGTTGGGCTCTGCGTCCGAGCGCGTGGGGGCCCCACTGGGCGTCTTGTCGCCGTCGTCCCGGGACGCTTCCTCCAGCGGCAGAGAAACCCACTTACGTTTGTTACCTAGCGATGATTGCACACCGGAAACAAGAGCTTCAAGAGTTTTGTTTCCCGAAATTTTGGAACAAATTAAATTGAAATAAAAAGTCAGTGAGACTCGAACATAAAAAAATAAAAAAATGATGAAACTTCTTCTTCTGGTCGTCTAAATGTAAAAGTTCACAAACACTCAACTGGACATAAAATGATGAAGATGAAGTCTTTATGTTGACAACTTACTTTACAGGATAAACAGAATAGTAGAAAAGTATTTATGTTTATATCTAATATTAAAAAAGGTTGTTTATGTATTTTCTTAATTCAAATTAAATATATTTGGTATTTGTGTTGTTTTTATTCATAGTTATTTATAATCTGCCCCCAAAAGACTCAATATCTATCTTTATCAAATTCATTTCACTGATTCATTACAGACATTTTCCTTAAATGACACTTTTGAACTGTCGAGTTGAGGAAAGTCAAGAAAATCAAATTGAGCTGTGATTAAAAAAAAAAAAGCTCCTGACACGTTTTAAAAGTTGAACCCTGGCAACATTTTTTTAAAGCTTTTGATTTTCTTTGAGAAACTGAGTCGACAGATTCAGACGGAGGCTCGTAAACCGCTGCTCAATCCATCTTTCATCCAGAACACAAAGTCGAGTCACGACATGTTTTAGTGCGGAATAATTCAACCTGTCATTGTATTTACGATCATCGCATATTTTTATGAATTAACTGATAATACACAATAAATCCTGGATAATTAACAAGGTTAGCTCTTCTCTCCCGTGTCTTTTTTAAACTTTTAGAACATTTACGTTTATTGGATTTCTTGATAAAGTTAGAAGAAATCAATATCACTCTAAAATCTAAACCTAAATCTGCATGAAAACAAGAATGTTCCTCATTTAAACTTTAATATTTGTAAAAGTTAAACGTGACACAAAATGAAAATTCAGTTGCGCTGGTGACAGAACCAGATGAGCCGCCTCCTCCTGTTCCCAGTCTTTATGTAAAACTAAAGTAAGCAGCTGCTGGCTATATCTTTATTTACATTATAAGTATATAGATATAATATTAACCTTATTATCTATAATAGCATATCCCCAAACTGTCCAACTACATCTCAAACCGGTTTTAATTAAATCTTCTTATATTCAAAAAAGACGTTTATTCCCGATGGATTTTCAGTTGAAACAGGATTTTCAAAGCTTCAGTGAATGTTTAATGAATTATCTCGTTTTGGGTAAAAAACTTTATCTCTGCTTCAGACTTGGTGAAATGGGAGCGAATCAGCGGAAGTGCAGGAAACAGGTGATCAGAGGAGAACATGCAACCGATCATGATCAATCCAGTTATTGACCTCAGTGGAGAAGGTGTCAGAGTCGTCACTGTGCGGTGAAAGGCGTGCCTCGATAAAAACAATCAGCTACATTCGATTATCTACCGACAAAGTTTAAATCGATATTTTCACGACACAGCGACGAAATGTGAATTAATCAAACCAGGACTGCAGCTGCTGCCACCGCTGTTCAGACATGCCGAACCCAAAACGGACAGAAAAGACTCCTTACCCTCGCCTCCTCGCTTCTTCAGGCTGGCGTTCTTGGCGTCCTGTCCCGCCTTGGACTCTCCGTCTTTGGGCAGCTCTCCCAGCAGGTCCAGCTGAGCCTCCTGGTTCTCTTTGCTCTCACCCCCGTCGTGGCTGCTCTCCGATTTCCTCTCCGGCCGCTCCCTCCTCTTCTCCTTCTCTCTGCGAGAGGAGTTAGGCTTCTTTCCGTTGTTGTTGAGGACATTTTGTTGCTGCTGCGGAGACGGACAGAGAGACGCCAGGTTATATTCGTGCTTTATTCTATTTCCCTTTTTTAATTTAGTTTGTTCTGTGTCCTCTGTAAAAATCTAAAAAATCTTTAAATGGCTCTTCATTACCAAGAATTTGTGTTTGTCTTAGAGACAAATAAGCTTCGAGGAAACGGACACAGAGGTTTGTTTTATTGAACTAACATCACCCACACGTGATCACACACACACACGACGTACCTCTTTGGCCAGTTCACCAGGTGTGGGCCAGTTTGTGATATCGCTGAAGTCACTCGACTGTAAAATAAAGAGAAATAAACACAAAGATTAATGACAACAAATCAATATTTTAGTTTTTTTTTTTTTTTACAAGTGGACCCCTTCAGCTCCGGTTGTTATATCAACATTGCCCGTGGAGGTCAGTGCTCCGTCTGTGGAGGAACTGCAAACACCGATAAACGCGTCACCTTCCACCAACGTGGATGTCGTAAATCTGGACAATCCGATATGAGATCAAGGTTAGAAGGACGAGAGTCACGGAGGAGATTAAATCCTGATGTTATGCTCACGGTCGCTGTTACAGGGATTTGTCTGGAAACAAAATGAAGTTTAAAATGTGTTTTGGTTTTTAAAAAAACTCTTGACCGACGCAGGTGAACTGACTGAGGTGGTTTCCTCCTCACGCGGATTCTTTTACAGACGCAGCATCAGTGAACCTAAGTCACTCAGATTGTTTTGTTTACACTGAGTTCACCGGTAATTAAAACTGCCACTAAAGTTTACTCCCAACAAACAAAGCTGGTTTACGATCAGTGCAACTCACCAGAACTCCTGGAGCTCAACCTTCAGTCGTAACAAGCGGATCCATGGATGAATTTCTTTCCCCATAAAACGTTTGCTTGAATATTAATTTTGAAAACTTCAGGTTTGTTTACAAGTTACTGAGTTCTTCATCTTCTTTGCTGCTGCAGATTGTGGCACATCACTGCCACCTGCTGGCTGCAAGTTGTATTCACTTTAAAAATCAGATGTTTACATGTTTTACTCTTTATAACTGTTTCTGTCTTGACTTTCTGAAAACTTTTTTAACATTCAAATTAAAAATCCATCAGTAATTATTCTGACAATCAATCAACCGGTTGAGTTACACTGAGAGAATTTGTTTTGGGTCCAGTTAATGTGAGGATTGCATCGTCACAAATTAAAGCTGCAGTCAGTGAAATAATCAATTCAGAAAATGTGGTCAACAATCGATTCATAGTTTTGAGGCTCCAAATAACCAACTGTAGTTCAAGCTTCTCAAATTGTAATAACTTCCTGTTGATGACAGTAAACTTACTATCTTTGGGGTTTTTTTTAAAACAAGTGAGTCAGAGAAAGCGTTGGACCTTGTCATGAGATGTTTCTGACCTTCTACGGTGTGTTGGATTAATATTGTAGATTTTTTAAAAAAAACAGAAGCCGGGGAGGGTAACGTTACGAGAACCCTGTGAAAACTTTCTGAGAAACATGATTAACTGAAATGACAAAGAAAAGCAAACAGAACAAGCCGTCTGCAGCCGAGAGCAGAAGCAGATGTCGATTTCCCATCCTGCATTTCACCAGCTGGCAGAACGTAAGAGTGGTGATATATGACCATGTGACCACTTCAAAGAGTCGAACGTGTGGGTTTATTTAGGATGACTTCAGGCCCCGTGTTGATTAAAAGCTCAATTAAAGACAGAAACAGAACCTGCTGATTATTCTGTGTTGTTGGATGAACGACGCCAAACACGTCATCCACGGCTTCTGGAGCCTCCAGCTCGTGACAACTTTAAATTAAAACAAGATTTTTACAAAATAAATAAGAAAAATAAAAAAGAATAAAGATCATCGTTACCTTGCTGGACTTCCTCGTCCTGGGTTTGCTGGCACGGACGACTTTCAGAGCGTTTTGTTGATCTGCAGATACAGAATCAATGAGTGACTGTGACATCATCATATGAACCTGAACAGAGTCAAATCTAAACCCCCCCCACCCCCCTCCTCCTCCGGACGGTTGCTCAACGCTGGAGTTACAAAGTTGAGTTGTGTGCTCTTGCATGCTCTGCTCAGCGTGTGTGTGTGTGTGTGTGTGTGTGTGTGTGTGTGTGAGAGTGAGTGTGTAGAGCCCAGGGAATTTATGTCAGTACAGAACGAATAAATATCCTCCTCCCCCCAGGGACCGAGCGACTGAACTAGTTGAGGGTGTTTTGTGCATAGCCAGCAGCGGTATGCGGCTGCGTCTCTCTGCAGGCAGCTGCATGCTGGGAGTGGCCCGCTGCAGCCTGACAGTCCCTATCGCTCGGCAGAGGATGGTCAGATTGATAAGAGACGCAGGGCCGAGGCCTCCATATGAATGGGTGTATGCATGAGCGAGCCTGCAGGCGTCCACCCACAGAGCTGCCTGTACAGTAGCGCTGTAAAACGATGCCTGCGCTCTCGTCAGAGTCAAACGCTTCAAATATAGCTCCCCCCCGGCCGCTATGTGCTCTGACACACATTCAGAACTCGCGTTGAGTTGAACAGACTCAACTCAACAACAGCACAGTTCTTTAAATCTGACTTATTTGGAAGCGGAAATTGTTTGGTGACGAACAAATGGGTTAATGAGACACACAGAGAGTTTAACAATCTGATGTGTGGTCGTCAGTGAACTAATCAGAAGTCCAGAAAGTCAAGATCAAACTTTTAAGTTCATGCAAACTCCAAGTCCAGGCTGTAACAAAAGAAAAAAACATGAAGCAGGAGAGAGACTGGCAGCGTCCTGGATTTTACTCCCAAGTATGAGTCACAAACCAAAAACCGTGGATCCTATTACATTACCCATAATGCAACAGCACCTACCATTAGGATTCCAACCCCCCCAAAGTTATACCATAGCCCAAACTCTACGTTTTGTAACCCAGGCCTTCAGTCACTACTTTAAACCCCGGAGTTAAAACGAGGGTGATGCCAGAGACAGTTTAAAAACTTCATGTGATCCTTTAAGTTTTGTTACTGATACATTTTTAAAAAGCACATGGGAAGATTAATTGTGTTTCTCCATTTTGCAAATTGAATTTATTTGAGTTTTCGATTGTTAATCAGAAAATAAAACACGACATTTGAACGTGGGGTCTGAGCCGATTGAACATTTTCTAATCTCTTTAACGACTGAAACGCTCCGACTGAACCAGTCAGGTGGATTCAGTCACATTCAAATGTAAATTAATCATTTTGGTAATTTTCTCTGTTATGTGACAGAACACTGAAGGTATGGTCGGGTCAATCTGACAGCCTTGAATGAGAGTTTGGGGAATTGTAATAATCATTTCCCCTCTTTTGTACACTTCATTGAACTAAACCTGAATTAAAACCCAGGTGCAGGCAGCTCATCAATATCTTATCTTACTCAAATGAGCCCGTTACTGTTAATTCAAAACAGCGGACACATATCTGAGTTAAGAACTGTTGGTCACACACTGGGTTTTATTCTCATCGTCATTTAATGAACCAATGAGCAACAATCAACCAGAGAAGTGGTCCAATAGATTAATGTTGGCTGCTGCTTAAATCCTCCGCTCTTTACTTTTTACGTTGATGGATAAAACTTTATTTTGTTAAATTTAAAAAATGTAAATCAACTCACCACCATGACAGAGGGGGGGGCGAAGTTTTAAAAACTTAAAACTTAAGTAGGAGGACAACAGAGGACTCTCATCACAGCGCTGAGCAGATAGTGAGTGAATTTTTTTTATTTTTCTGTGAACTTTAAATTTGCCCCTCGCCTTTTTATTCAACTGCAAAGTTTCTCATCCGTGGAGATCTGTGACAATTAACTGGTGCATGACACGAATCATCTAAAGTTCCTCTAACTGTGTTCGACTGAACTCACTCACTCACTTCACTGCAGCACCTCCACCTGTGCAGCCACAGTCTCTCTCTGCCTTCGCTGGTGACGGAGGGGAGCAGGCTGGTGGGAGGAACTGCAGGAAGCCAGGCCATTGGACATGCAGAACGTGTCTTTACAGCAGCAGCAGCTAGCCTGGCTGTCCTAGCTTCTACACATCTACACGAACCCTTGCAGCACAAACATGAGGTCGAATCCCTCCCCCACGTGTTCTGCATCTCACACACACACGCTGTCCTGTGTGAAGCTGTGTGTGTGTGTGTGTGGGGGGGGAGAAGCTGCAGGAAGCTCGCAGGCTAAAGAAGTAGCACTTGTCAGAAATCAACACGTGGTGCTCTGGAGCAATCCGAGTAGCGCTGAGTGTGTGTGTGTGTGTGTGTGTGTGTAGGGGGGGAGGGGGCGAACATGGCACCATCAACACCTCTGCACCGAGCTGACAGTCGAGTGAGTGCACGGGGCTCTGTTCGAAATAAACCCCGGGGTGAGGTGACACAGGCCCGGGTGGGTTCGGGAGGATCCCCACCCCCCCCCTCCCGCTGTCACAGAAAAAAAAAAAAAAAAAAACGCCGCCGCAGCAACGTGCTCGGGCAGCTGCGACCGGGACTTGTCGCCGTGTTGGTAAAAGTTGAACACACCGCGCTCTGTTTGAATAAACCCCCGGCTCACCTCTCTCCTGGGGGCCGATGGTGTTGATGGCGACCCGGCCCGTGGTCCGCTTCGTCCACGGGTTGACTTTCGGCGGCGGAGCCTCCACGACCTGCCCCTTCACCGCCTCCACAGCCGCGTCCGCGTCGCCGCCCTGGTCGTTCTCCTTGTCGTTTTCGTTGCATTTCCTGTGGGTGTCCGCGGGGCTCCTGTCCGCCTCGGAGCCGTCCTGCGGCGGCTTCTCGGAGCCCCTCTGCCCCGGCTGCTCCCTCTGCGCCTCGGACTTGTTTTGGTTCTTCTCCGCTGTCAAACCGGAGTCGACCTGGCTGCTCTCGACCTCTGCGGACATCCTGCTAGTTTCCTAACAGCTCGCAGTGTTAAATCCAGTGTGAGGCGGTGGTCCTGCTCCTCTAGTCCCGGAGAAAAGTCGTGGGAAGCTCGGGGGGCGACCACGGCCACAACTTGAGGTAAACAACTTTTTCCTGGGGCTGGACCTCGCTAGCCAGCTAGCCGAGTAGCTCCTGCAGCTAACTGTTAGCTAGCTAGCGAGCATGCAGGAGTCAGCGGGCGGAATGTGGGGCTTTACCGGCCGGATCGACGCTCTGGAGCCGGCGAGTCGTTACCTGGCAGCGGCTGGAGTGTCACCATGAGACCCACGCGACCTGAACCGCTTCACCTGCGAGTTTCAACAACTTTACACGAGCTTCTCTCGCGACCTCCGGTTTCCACGCGTCCACAGCTCGTGCAGCCTCCTGCTCTCTGCCTGTAAACAGTGGCTCTGCTGCCCCTGGCGGCCACATCGCGGCACTACAGCACCCACCGTTCATTTTTATTATGTGTATGAAGTAGTTTATTTTTCTTTTTATCTCTCTCTCTCTTTCTTTCTCTCTCTCTCTCTTTCTCTCTCTCTCTCTTTCTTTCTCTCTCTCTCTCTTTCTTTCTCTCTCTC